ACCTTCTTATATAAAATAAAACAAAGCAAAGAACAAGTGTCTTATCATTTATTATACTACATAGCATTATACATCAGTAGTTGTCCGTGACAAACAATGTTGATCTGCCGTGGTACAAGTCCTTGTGGAGATTGAAAGAATGCCATCTCCTGTTCCGTTGTTGTCTCCTTTTTGTAGTTTTAATTAATGATTTAATGATTTGATATTTATTTGCCGCCGTCAAGGCTATAATGCTTCTCCGACGAGCCGCTTCTTCTTTGGCTTTTGCCATGGTACACCAGCAACATGCCCGTGAACACTGCAGACTTGCGGTTTACATGTGTACTGCACGTCAACGCGGACAACGACGCAGAAGTATAAATGAAAACTGACGCATAGCCTACGCCGTAGGTCTGACGCAGAAGTATAAATCAGCCTTTAGGATGGCGACGTAAGAGCGTCGAGGCAGCGCCCACGCCATCAGCCAATGAATTGGTGTGATTCTATACGGTCTTCAGACAATCGGCACACCCAGCGGGTGTTCCCATTGCATCATAGCGACGCAGCGTTGAGTGAACCTATGAAAGAGAACATTATTTCTAAGATGTCTACTACAGCTAACATATACTTCTAATCTGCAATGAGAAATTTTGAATGTGGAGAAATTTTGAGGATTCATGTCAGTAATCTGTTATTACCAATACCACAGATCAAAAAGAAACAGCAAGATGTTGTCGGGTTTCTTGAGGCACTTAAAATCGATTACGCACAGCTTGACATTGCTTCAAATGAGGACAACCGGAGGTGGATGAGGGAAAATGTCCCTGGAGAAAAGAAGCCCACCAATGGAATTCCTCTTCCTCCACAGATTTTCAATGAGGCGATGTATTGTGGGGTAAGAACCTGCTAGAACAGAGGTTCCCATCTAAACGTTAAATAAAAATCATAATGTGAGTCAGGACTGAATGAGTAAAGGTTTTTATATGATGTTTATCCAGGTTAAGAGATGTAAAATACATAAAAGACTGTCAGCAGTAATATAACATGAAAACATATTCAAAAGAGCTTCTAAAACCGGGAAGAGAATTATAATTTTCAAACCAGGTTCCCTTGGGAAATCCTGTGGGGTTTTAAAATAGAGGCTTTAGTTTTATGACTAAAATATCATCTGCAGTTAACATTACTTGAAGAGACTTACATATTTTGTTTTACTCTCAAATTGATTATGTTGTATTTGTTGATTCGTTTTTTTGATGTGTAATCGATTGCAGTTTATGTTTACAAAGATCTTAATTTACTATTTAGTTTACCTAATTTACAAACCAAAAAACACTATTCTTAAAATCCCAATAGGAATTTCCAGAACAACCTTTTACATAAATTAGTCTCCCAAGCTGGCCTACAAATTTATTTCGTAACTGAATAGCTGTATTAAAACGTTTGTAATTTAGTTATTCAAATTTTGTTTAGCTGCATCATTTGGGTCTAAAAGGGAGGATTAATTCTATAATAAAATTTCTGTCATCATTTACACCCCTTCCCCCCTAATTTTGCTGAAAACCTGTAATTTTTTTCTTTCTTTCTGTTGAACACAAAAATGAGCAGAATGTAGAGACTCTTTTCCACAAATGTGTAAAAAGGATCAAGTTTAAAAAAAGTTGTGTGCTTCTGTCTTCTGAAACCTTAACTTTGTGTTCAAGATACACACAGGGAACTTATTTGCTTGAAATACACCTAGAACAACAGAATATTGAATTTAGTGAATAATGGCAAAACATCTAGACCCATTCCCCTCTAAGTTATTGTATGGCGTCATAAGGTTTTAAATATTGTACATATAAGTCCACATCGATGTTTTATAGAAAAAGTAGCCTGGACACTCTATTTGATAGCTTCTTTTGAATTCCACAGAAATTATGTTGTTGTGTTGCTATATTAATTGCTTCCTAATGATTGTTTCCTATCCTAAATTGCAGGACTACGAAACATTCTTTGAAGCCAAAGAGGACAACACAGTCTATGAATTTTTGGGTCTGACACCTCCACCAGGATCTAAGGTTGTATTTTTTCTTTTTCTTTTTGTGCGTTTCCTTTTCTTGTTTGACATGAAAGTTAGACAACATTTTAGACTGCAGTATCTTAACATCTGGGCCAAATAACAACCGAGTCAAATGCTGCCACTGGTGTGTGTTTTTTTCACTTGTTCCCAGCAGGGGCGTAAATTTCGTCTAACAGTTGGGGGGGACAATAAACATAAAATTTCTCAAGAGCAATTTTTGAAGGGGACACAAATAATCCAGCTAAAATTGTACTTGTAAGGATATGTATACACAGAGGAAAGCCTTTGTGGTCACACCGTGACAGCGCTCGTGTCCGTTGTAGACATTACTATCCATCACAGTGTTGCCAAGTCCGCGGTTTTCCCATGGAATTGGGCTACTTTATCACTGTTGCCGCAG